AAATTGCAGAACAAATCTAGAGATGGTAGTTAAATTACAGAACAAATAAAGACTGAGCACTCCTTGAAGGAATCTTTATCACCCGGTCTTTCATGTCACTTTTAAAACCAGATCTCACGTTGGGACCAAGTTAAAGCATTTTAATCCAGACTTGTAAGTGTGACATGGTCTTATGATCAATGCGAGCTCTCACTGCTCTTGGGAGTTTGTGCTGGGAACAACTACCTGCTACCACCACATGAATGTGAGGTCATCTTCTGCAACTAAAAGACATTTTAAGGTCAGGCAGCTTTCTTAAACTGAGCTGAGTCCAAAAGTTAATAAGCTATAGAAGTACATCCAACGCTCTCTGAGGTTCATTAGAGTTTGCTGTGGTTTGTGAAATATTTTGCTAACAGGCACAGAGTTGACACCAATGCAGGTTTTTAAAGATGGGTCACTGACACTACATGTTGTAGATGACTCAGCTACAGCCACACCAAAGTTCAGCCCAATATCTGTAAAAATAACCGAGTTACAGTTGTGTGTTTGTTAAAGTTGCTTAGCTGTGGCGGCCATCTTGATTTGAGATCCAGATTACATTCTGGATGTGTCACTGACAACCTTACAGACGCTGAGATATTCTGCTTAAGCTAAAAACAATCGAGCACACAGTGGAACGGGCAGAAACATGATGGCCCAGTTGCTGTGGCAGCGATGATTCCTACGAGACCCCGAGCACCGGAGGAAACATCCGGACGTGTCACTCAGATAAACACAAAAATTTAACTTTCAGCTAATTTGGTCAAAATGGAACAGAAATTAAGAATAAAATTAAAAAAAATCATCACAACACGTTAAAAATCAGAAGTGTTTATTGAGTCGGATTTGTTTAATCAGGAAAATTAACTATTACAGTATTACTACATTACTGCTGATGAAAACAAACACTGGCCGGTCAACACACCGATAACCAAAAAAACTGTCAGTTTGTATTCAAACAGCGTCTACTTCAATCAAAAGTACAGAAAAACACACACAGTACACGTGAAACACACACAGTACATGTGAAACACACAGTACATGTGAAAAATACACGGTACATGTGAAGTCAGCACCAAATACTGCAGCACCGTTATGTCGACATCAGAACATTTGAGTTTTTTTCTTTCCGTCAGACAAAAACAAACCTGGACTCATCGTCAGGACGCACCAGAGCTGCTCCACAGAGCGTAGAAGAAAAACTGATCCTGAACGCACCGTGGT